GCAGCATCATGCTGTGGGAATGTTTTTCAGCAGCCGGGACTGGGAAACTGGACAGAGTTGAGGGAAAGATGGATGGTGCTAAATACAGGGATATTCTTGAGCAAAACCTGTACCACTCTGTGCGTCATTTGAGACTAGGACGGAGGTTCACCTTCCAGCAGGACAATGACCACAAACACACTGCTAAAGCAACACTTGAGTGGTTTAAGGGGAAACATGTAAATGTGTTGGAATGGTCTAGTCAAAGTCCAGACCTCAATCCAATAGAAAATCTGTGGTCAGACTTAAAGATTGCTGTTCACAAGTGCAAATCATCCTACTTGAAGGAGCTGGAGCAGTTTTGCAAGGAGCAATGGGCAAAAATCGCAGTGGTAAGATGTGGCAAGCTCATATAGACTTTTCCAAAGTGACTTGGAGCTGTAATTGCCGCAAAAGGTGGCTCTACAAAGTATTGACTTTAGAGGGTGAATAGTTATGCACATTGACCTTTTCTGTTATTTTGTCCTATTTGTTGTTTGCTTCACAATAATAATTTAAAAAAAAAAATCTTCAAAGTTGTGGGCATGTTCTGTACATTAAATGATGCAAATCCTCAAACAATCCATGTTAATTCCAGGTTGTGAGGTAACAAAAAAGGAAAAATGCCAAGGGAGGTGAATACTTTTGCAAGGCACTGTATATTTTCATAATTTGTAAATACAATAAGAATGTTTTTCTGTTCTAGTATATTCCTTTAAACATTCTGCTATCATTTCCACCATAAAACCCCTCTCTCTAATGACCATTTCAACAAAATGGATACTAATGGCCTACTATTGTACTCATATGCAACTCTTTATAAGATTGTTTAATTCAGGTGTAGTCAACCTTTTAATACCTACTGCCCACTTTTGTATCTTTGTTGATGGTAAAATGTCCTTACCGCCCACCAGTGCTGCAGTAACTACAGTATTCTACTTTTTTCTATGTATGAGTGGTGCTGTGTGTGTGAAGGATGCTGTATGTGTGTGAGGGGTGCAGTGTGTGTGAAGGGTGCTGTGTGTGTGAGGTTTTGTGTGTGTGAAGGGCACTGTGTGTGTGTGTGTGTGTGTGAGGGGGCAGTGTGTATGAGGGGGTTGTGTGTGTGAAGGATGCTGTGTGTGTGTGAGGGGTGTAGTGTGTGTGAAGGGTGATGTGTATGTGCGAACGGTGCTGTGTGTGTGAAGGGCGCTGTGTGTGTGTGTGTGTGTGTGTGTGAGGAGGCAGTGTGTGAGGGGGTAGTGTCTGTGAGGGGGCAGTGTGTGTGAAGGATGCTGTGTGTGTATGAGGGTTGTAGTGTGTGGGTGATGGGTGCTGTGTGTGAGAGGGGGCAGTCTGTGTGTGTGTGTGAGGGGGCAGTTTGTGTGTGAAGGGTGCAGGTAGTGTCTGTGAGGGGTGCAGTGTGTGAGGTTGCAGTGTGTGTATGTGGGTCGGGGAGTGTATGTGAGGGGAGAGACTGTGTGTGAAGGGTGCTCTGTGTGTGTGTGTGTGGGGGTGGCAGTGTGTGAAGGGTGCTGTATATGTGTGAAGGGTGCAGTATATGTGTGAGGTTGCTGTGTGTGTGAGGGGCAGTCTGTGTGAGGGGGCAGTTTGTGTGTGAAGGGTGCATAGGGTCTATGCTGTGTGAAAATCCATCTTAATGTCTCCCCCTCCCTTCTTCTTACCTTTTACCAGGGAGGGGGGACATAATACTGCCCTGGTGGTCCAGTGGTGGAATGTTCACTTTTTCAGCTCCTCCGGCTGCAGGCTGACTCTCCTGTCCTTCTGCGAGCACAGGACTGGATCGGAGCATTGCCATAGTAACATGTGGCTGCGCTCTGACCAGCCTACCTGCGGGAGGAACTCAGAGCTTCCCAGGTCTTTCCCTCCCCATGCTGGAACTAAGTGCCAGCAGGCCAGTGAGGAAGATCTTTGATCCTCACTAGCCCAGGAGGGCTTACACCAAGGCTGGCTCTGCATGGGACATAGGAGATGAAAGGATCACCCCTGCCAGCCTTGGTCCACTGCCATCGAGGCCCACCCTGCATTTTCTGCAGACCCCACCACCCACCTGAAATCCCAAACTGCCCACTAATGGGCGGTAGGGACTAGGTTGACTACCCCTGGTTTAATTGCTCCTGAATCCAAATATAAATACTCTGTACTAAATCTTCAACTTTCAACCATTTTTGACAGTGGACCACCAGCTTGTTCTCTTAACTCTTAACTTGACACCACTTTTTCCTTTCTCATTTTACTTCTCATAGCATTCTCACACTTTTTATTTTCCCATCTACATTTTCCAGTTGAAGTACTATTAATGTCCATCTCAGTGTACTAATTTTACCATTGTCGTGCTTGTCATATTAACTTGACTTGGATATTATTATCACTGTATATATTATTACAATATATGATTTATAGTTAATTCCCCCATCTAATAATATTGTACGGACTCTGTTGGCGCTATATAAATGGCAATAATAATAATAAATAATTATAACATGCAGATACAGTGAAGGAAAAAAGTATTTGATCCGCTGCTGATTTTGAAAGTTTGCCACTGACAAAGACATGATCAGTCTATAATTTTAATGGTAGGTGTATTTTAACAGTGAAAGACAGAATAACCACAAAAAAAAAAATCCAGAAAAAGCATGTCAAAAAGTTATAAATTGATTTGCATGTCAATGAGTGAAATATGTATTTGATACCCTATCAATCAGCAAGAACATGCTGAGATTAGGAGCACTCTCTTAAAGGGAGTGCTCCTGATCTCAGCTTGTTACCTGTATGAAAGACACCTGTCCACAAAAGCAATCAATCAGATTCCAAACTCTCCACCATGGCCAAGACCAAAGAGCTGTTTCTAGGGTGTCAGGGACAAGATTGTAGACCTACACAAGGCTGGAATGGGGTTCAAGACCATCGCCAAGCAGCTTGGTGAGAAGGTGACAACAGTAGGTGCGATTATTCGCAAATGGAAGAAACACAAAATAACTGTCTGTCTCCCTCGGTCTGGTGCTCCATGCAAGATCTCACCTGGTGGTGTTTCAATGATCATGAGAACCATGAGGAATCAGCCCAGAACTACATGGGAGGATCTTTTGTAATGATCTCAAGGCAGCTGGGACCATAGTCACCAAGAAAGCAATTGGTAACACACTACGCCGTGAAGGACTAAAATCCTGCTGCGCCTGCAAGGTCCCCGTGCTCAAGAAAGCAAATGTACAGGCCCGTCTGAAGTTTGCCAATGAACATCTAAATGATTCAGAGGAGAACTGGAAGAAAGTATTGTGGACAGATGAGACCAAAATCGAGCTCATTAGCATCAACTCAACTTGCCGTGTTTGGAGGAGGAGAAATGCTGCCTATGACCCCAAGAACACCATCCCCACCGTCAAACATGGAGGTGGAAACATTATGCTTTAGGGGTGTTTTTTTGCTAAGGGTACAGGAAAACTGCACCGCATCAAAGCCAATTGACGGGGCAATGTACAGTCAAATCTTGGGTTAGAACCTCCTTCCCTCAGCCAGGGCATTAAAAATGGGTCGTGGATGGGTATCCCAGCATGACAATGACCAAAAACACACAGCCAAGGCAACAAAGGAGTGGCTCAAAAAGAAGCACATTAAGGTCCTGGCGTGGCCAAGCCAGTCTCCAGACCTCAATACCACAGAAAATCTGTGGAGGGAGCTGAAGGTCCGAGCCAAATGTAAGCCTTGAAACCTTAAACTTGTAGAGAATCTGCAAAGTGTAGTGAAACAAAATCCCTCCTGAAATCTGTGCAAACCTGGTGGCCAACTACAAGAAACGTCTGATCTCTGTGATTGCCAACAAGGGTTTTGCCACCAAGTACTACATCAAAGGGGTCAAATACGTATTTCACTCATTGACATGCAAATCAATTTATAATTTTTTGAAATGCATTTTTCTAGATTTATTTTTTTGTTATTCTGTCTCTCACTGTTAAAATACACCTACAATTAAAATTATAGACTGATCATTTCTTTGTCAGTGGGCAAACATTCAAAATCAGCAGGGGATCAAATACTTTTCCCCTCACTGTACACCCTTCCTCCCAATCATCCAGATAATCCTACTGCCTCACTCTTGGTTCTGTTTTAACTAGCTCTCTGCTCATTCTTAAAACCCATTCTTTCTAGTCTAGAACATGTTCTCTGAGCATCCATAGGCGTGCGCACGGGGTGTGCCGGGTGTGCCTGGGCACACCCTAATCCCCGTGGCACGCCTATGGTTTGAGTCCTGCAAGAACAGCGTTCCTGCACTTTTTTTGAGCAGGAACGCTGTTCCTGCAGGCACTCAGCGCCCCACTCACCTCTTGCCCCTGTCATGGGGGGGGCAAGATGTGATGGATCCCCCCCGCCCCTCTCTCCATCTCAGCCGCAGCGAGGGAGCTCTCTGCTGTCTGCGCTCTGCTTCCTCTCGCCGCGCGCTGATGCCGGGAGCCGGAATATGATGTCATATTCCGGCTCCCGGCTACAGCAGACAGCCCGCGCGGCGAGAGGGAGCAGAGCGCAGACAGCAGATAGCTCCCTCGCCGCGGCTGAGCTGCAGAAAGGCGCCCGCCCCACTGGACCCCAGGGACAAGTCCACCAGCACTCCAGGTAGGAGGCTGGGTGGACATTTTTTTTAAAATTCAAATATAATTTGTTCTTGTGTGTGTGTGTCTGTGTGTGAGTGTCTGTGTGAGTGTGTGTGTGTGTCTGTGTGAGTGTCTGTGTGTGTCAGTGAGTGTGTGTCTGTGTGTGTGTGAGTGTGTCAGTGAGTGTCTGTGTGTGTGTCAGTGAGTGTGTGTCTGTGAATGTATGTGTGTCAGTGAGTGTGTGTGTGTGTGAGTGTGTGTCTGTGAGTGTATGTGTGTGTGTCTGTGTGAGTGTGTGTCTGGGTGTGTCAGTGAGTGTATGTCTGTGTGTGAGTGTGTGTGTCTGTGAATGTGTGAGTGTGTGTCTGTGAATGTGTGTGTGTGTGAGTGTATGTGTGTGTGTGTCTGTGAGTGTGTGTGTGTACGTATATATATATACACACACACACACACACACACACACACACACGAGCACGCAGAGCACACACAGCAGTGTGTGTGTGTGTATATATCTATATATAGATATATACACACACACACACACACGCGGCATGTGTTTGTGCTTTAGGGTGCACACCCTAATGCAATAGGCTGCGCACGCCTATGTGAGCATCCCCCACATCCTTCTCACAAGCAAGATACGTTAAAATAATATTTGACTATTACCTTTTTTTTTACTCCTTAAGTCCTGTTCTAAGTCTAACTTTGATTTTAAAGATATCGCTAGCATTCAACCCTAATTAATGCAGAATCAATATTTAGTTCTTATTCACTCAATTATTCTCTTTCTGCTTGCCTCAACCCATTGTTGATTAGGTCTCATACATGTTTAGTTAATCCCAAATAATTAATGCTTATCTTCACACACTTCCACCGTAGACTTTTCTATCACCCCTCATGCCACTGAATTCCTAGCAAATGTTCATCATTACAATGAAAAACACGTCTCCACTTTCCACAATGTTATCATGTTGGAATGACAGAAGTGTACAAATTGTATTAAAAAGTCGTTGCGTCTGTGTTAGAGGGCCTTTGTAGTTCTGTAAAGCAAAGCCAGTTAGATTTTATATTTCCACTTTACAGATTAACAAGCAGACGCAGATAATGAATGCCTAATCCTCATATATGGAAATATCTGGAATTGTGATCTCATGTGTCCATGAATTTAATAAATATTGGAATGAACATAATCTTTTTGATGTGTTTTCTAGTTAGCTGTTTAATTTCATACTTTTGTGACACGTTATATATGCCTAGAGGAAGATTAAATCATTTGTTGTTTTTTTCTGTATTAGTATTTTCATAGTTCAAAATGTTCTACCATTTACACCACCTAATTGCAGAAAATAAGTAAAAATAATAAACTAGGCTGTAAAAGATTTGTTATAGTAAAATACAACACGTACGGTGTAAAATAATTTGAACAAATACTGGTGCTACTATCACCTTAGTGGGCCACAATAACAACTAAAATAACACAAGTGAAGAATAAATAAAATATGGTGAGAGCACACAAAACACAATAATATTACCCACAGTAGAATTACTCTCTGGAAAAAACACAGAAATATAACATAGGGTAATACCGTAATAAACAATAAAACAACGTATGGATAAAATACACTCACATACGAAGAGCCAATTACAAGCTGGCTCACACTGCACGCCTGGAAATAAAATAATCCTCAGGACTGGAACAGACTTCCACTGGGCTCTTCCCAAAGTTGATGTAAGAATCAGGAATGCAGGTTCAAGATCAAACTTTACTTTAATAATTAATAAAAAATGAATAAATAAAATAAACAATATGGATTCGTCAGACGAAGGCTCTTATGCCGAAACGCGTTAGGTGAACTCCAAGGACATTTTGGGACTATTTATCCATATTGTTTGTGTAAAATTATGTTTATAATAAAATAAATGAAAACATGGTTACTGTCTACATATCTTTCTTTTTGAGTTCTCGCACCATATATTTTCTCCTGTCAAAATATGATATGAACATCAGTACGTTAGACACCAGATTCACCACGTTTAAATGAAGATTGTAGGTTGGGTACACAGAACAGCAGTTGAATAGACACATGCATATCAACTACCATTACCTGTTCAGAAGTTGATCAAGCATGGCTAATCCACAGTAACACCACTTATGTGACTGAACTTTTTTTTATTAATGATATGACCTAGTTTTTGGAAGTAAAAATGAGAGGTAAAACAAGGTTTTCCTCTACAATTGTACTCGGTATGACACTTTAGAGACATCAGCTTTGTATGTTACTTTACCGACAAGATTAAACAGTTAAAGGAACACTATAGTCACCTAAATTACTTTCGCTAAATAAAGCTGTTTTAGTGTATAGATCATTCCCCTGCAATTTCACTGCTCAATTCACTGTCTGTAACGAGAATATACCCCTACACGCAGGATCCAGCTAAACAGAAGCCAATACAGAGGAGAGATACGTCTACCGGACCTTAGAATGGCCGGACTCGACGTATATGAGAGGAGACAGAGCCAGGAACAAACCGAGGTCAAGGGCACAGAGAGACAGCGTAAACTAGGACAAGCCGGGGTCTGGTACACGGAAAACAGCAAGCCGGCAAACAGTACAGATAAGGATAAAGCGAAAACGAAGTCAGAATACGAAGCCAAAGTCAATACGAGAAAACACAACTGAACACCACAAGCGCTAAAGGGAACTGAAACAGAAACCACGATAGGGCAACGAGCTAAGGGAAAAAGGTAAGTTTAAATAGCTTTTGAAACGAAAGTGATTGGCTCCTGTCACTTCCACACCCCCAAAAGGTAATTGTATAGGGAGTGTGGTATGACAGGAGCCAATGGGAGCCTTTTGGCAATTAGGCTCCCACTGTCTCTTTAAGAGCGCGCCCGAGACTCGCGGCGCGCTCTTAGGTTCAGGCGGGACACGTGACCGCTTCATGCGGTCACTGCCCGCCTTCCATCTAAAGCAGTCGGATGAGCCGCGCGCGGCTCGTGCAGCCGCAGGACCGCGCGCGGATTGAAGAGAGGACCGCGACCGGCCCCCGGTTAAGGTAAGTAACGCTACACTGTCATTTAGGAGTTAAATCACTTTGTTTCTGTTTATGACGCCCTAGCCACACCTCCCCTGGCTATGACTGACAGAGCCTGCATGAAAAATAAAACTGGTTTCACAGATATAATTTACCTTAAATAATTGTATCTCAATTTCTAAATTGAACTTTAATCACACACAGGAGGCTCTTGCAGGGTCTAGCAAGCTATTAACATAGCAGGGGATAAAAAAAATCTTAATTAAACAGAACTTGCAATAAAGAAAGCCTAAATAGGGCTCTCTTTGCAGGAAGTGTTTATGGAAGGCTGTGCAAGTCACATGCAGGGAGGTGTGACTAGGGTTCATAAACAAAGGGATTTAACTCCTAAATGGCATAGGATTGAGCAGTGAGGCTGCAGGGGCATGTTCTATACACCAAAACTGCTTCATTAAGCTAAAGTTGTTCAGGTGACTATAGTGTCCCTTTAAGGAATGAGTTCTTCCCCCTTACTCCTCTCTATCTCAACCTCACTTGGACCACATTTTCCCTACCTTACATGCCTTCTCTCCAGCTACTGAACTGGAGATGGCTACACTTCTCCTTGTCTGCTTGATGCCATCCCATCTCACCTCATCAGATCTCTCGCCCCTTTGTGAGGATATTTATGAGGATTAATTATTATTAATTATTAACATTAATTAAAATAATATTTTCATAAGAATTATTAAAATTAATAATTTTTATTAAAATATCAGGGGTTTATATTTTTTTGGGGTGCTATTCCCATTTATTATTTAAAGCGAAGAGTTACTCACTATTTTAACTCTTTAGACCTGGAGTACGTTGTTCGAATTTTATATTTCATACATTAATAAGTCAACTTTTTATAAAAATTATTATATTTATTATTGTCAATAAGAGTAAATATAAATGGTAATTAGTGCATAGTTTTTCATTAATTTTGAACAAGATATAGCATAGTACAGTATCACAATCTCAGTAGCAATTTCAAACTCTTAAGAGTGATGGGATTGTTAGTTCATGACACGTTCAATCAACCAGGTTAGCATATGGAATATGTTACTTCATATTCATAGTTACATAGTTACATACAGAAAAATAGGGGACAATATATTCTTAATAAACACTGGAACATTTTATGTCAGGATCCCATTCTGGGCAAAGTGTTGCCAAAAAAAATACCAGTCATTTTCAGGAGAACAAAAAATTTAAAAAATGTATTAGCACCAAGTTATGCTTTAAAAATTCCACATAAGGGTGTGACCCCAAACATCAGTGGTTTCAACCCTTGCAATTCTTGCAAGGCTTGTAAAAATCAAAAATTTGTCCAAAAAAAAGAATTTATGAGTTTTACTACAAAGGAGAGATTTAAAATCAAATCTAATATAAATTGCAATACGAGAAATGTGGTATACATGTTACAATGCCCGTGTGGGAAACAGTATGTGGGGAGAACATGTAGAAAGTTAAAAGAGAGAATTTTAGAACACCAAAATAATATAAGAAAAAAATCAGTTAAACATATAGTGCCATTACATTGCAATACTTGCAATAAATTTGATTGGCAAAGTTTTACTTTTTTGGGCATAGAACATGTGGACCCATATTGGAGAGGAGGAAATTTAACCAAAAAGCTCTCTCAAAGAGAGACTTTTTGGATCAACAAACTAAAAACACTCCAACCTTTTGGTTTCAATTTAGACATTGATTTATGGAGTTTCTTTGAAGATTGAGAGAACCACCTACTCTATATCCTGATGTTTGGGAAAACATTGCACCTTTCTCTCATTCGATAAATTAAGGATTTTTTATAATAATAATTTTTGTATGTTATATTTTTATTTTTATTATTTTATTTTTTATATTTTATTTTATATTTTATATTTTATTTTTTATTTCTAATTTTTATTTTTATTTTCATTTTTATTTTATTTTATTTTTATTTTTATTATTAATTATTTTTATTAATTATTTTTTTTATTATTTTTTATTATTTTCATTATTTTTTACTAATTATTATTTTTTTTTATTATTTATTATTTTTTATCTTTTTATTATTATTATTATATTTATTTATTTTTGTTTTTGGTTATAAATTTACTTTATTTACCTTTAAGAATGGGATAAAGAGTGCAATATAAATGTGTCATATCACTTATATTAATGTCTATATATTATATATGTATGTATATTGTTTGTTATATATTTTTTAATCATCTAAAAATGTTAGATTACTATATTATTATTCATGCATTCTATGGAATAAGATGCTATTTCCATATAAATCATATGAAGGGAATGTGTGTGACAAATATGTGAGAAAATGCTTTATAAAATTTGCACCCAATGAAAATGGGATATATATATGTATATACATATGTGTCCATAACTATAGATTACATTGAGAA